CGCCCCTGTCCGCACAGTCCACAGCTCACAAATGATCATTTTCTCTCAAAAAAGTGACTCAATTCATTCATTTAAGTCTGCATTTCTTCTAAATATAAGAAAGTCCAGTTCATACTTCACAGGAAACATATCACGTCTCCGCTACAGAGACCAACTGGTTAATGCTGGTCGCTGCTTGTTGTGAGAACCATGCCAAACACACAAACCCACTCAGTGGGCAGAATCCAGAGTGTTCATGTGTTAAACAGGTGGTGTATGGTAACCACTGGGCTTTAAATTGTTGAATGTAATGGATGCAAACAGGGCTACCCGCCCCCCCCCCCTCTCTGGTGCAACCCACAACTGAAAGACGATCGTCTTTATTCAAGGAAGTGACACGGAGTTTGATCCCCTGTAAGGGTAAGTGATTATTCTGTTCTACATAACATCTAGAAGGGCTCTAGGCCAGCCCTGCCTCTTGTCCACTGTACGTGTATATGAGGGGCTCTTTCCCCGTAGGTAAAGACAGATAGATAGACAGACAGATAGATAGATAGAGAGACGGACAGATATATATATACAGAATGACAGACATATAGAGAGATAGTTAAATAGACAGACAGACAGACAGACAGACAGACAGATAGATAGATAGATAGATAGATAGATAGATAGATAGATAGATAGATAGACAGATGGACAGATATATATATAGACAGAAAGACAGATAGATAGATAGATAGATAGATAGATAGATAGATAGATAGATAGATAGATAGATAGATAGATAGATAGATAGATAGATAGATAGAAAGACCAGTTGGTGAACCATGGTTCACTACTCTGAAAACATCAGGACAGGTGAGGGTTCACAGCCTCTTACAGCGAGTTACTTCTGTGACCTCGCAATGTGTTGGCAGGCTAACGCCAATAATTTCTCTCTGCCTAACGACAGCCATTAGATGCACCAATTGTTCAGAACGCGGTACCGCGAACAGAACTCTCAGCACTGTAACGCTGTTCTCTTCTTGCGAGTCTGACTGCTGAAGCTTCCACAGGGTTTCTACGAATCTTAATCAGAAACAGATTAAGAGCAACACGGCATTGGTATCGTTAATGGGTGACTTATGTTGTGTTGGCATGAAGTGTTCCGAATGCCTCAGGGTTGAGGTACCGCCACTGTTTGTAAAAGGGTCTATATTTCATCATTCAAGAAATTCGAGGATGTGAGGTTTGAAATACTCATGGCGGCGGCTATGATTGACTGCGATATGACGCAAACTGGTATGGTACAGGTTTAATGACATTTCGAGAGAACGTACTGCTTACACTCTCACGATAGTAGAGTTTTTTAATTAATTATTATAATTTTATAATTATTCATTAATATTTAATTTCAATTGCTCTTCCAGCCCCTTCAGGGCCTTGGTCTCTTATTCAGTTCCGTAATCATTTTTCACAGGGCCTAGGACGCCTTGGACGGGTGATCAGCCATTCATAAGGCCGCTACCTACACAAGGACAACACAAACACAGAATAAACGCATACACACACCAAACATCCCTGCCCTGAGTGGGATTCAAGCCCATGATCCCGGCTTTGGAGCGAGCGATGACAGTTTATGTTTCGACCAAGCGTTTACTGTGACCGGCCCCGGTAAAGTAAAAGTAAAGCTATCCCTGTAACAGGCCTTGAAGGCCCATAGGGTTGTGAGACGTTGAGGGTCTAACATTATCTAGACAATCGGCTCAAAGATGGCGGTAAGTTCGTCAGCCTTACGCGCCGGCCGAGCTTTAATCCCCAGGAAAATTATTTAATTAATTCTTGGTACTCATTTCTGTTAGAGGTTGAGTCGGCCCCAGAACCACAGTGCGGATGGAAGGATTAGGTCAATTGAAAAAAATCCAATGACCTCATCGGGACTTGAACCCGCGACCTTCCGGCTTGTAGCATAGTGCCTCAACCAACTACGCTACCGCGTGTCCCGTGTGCTTAACTAATTAAACATTATATCATGAAGACGTATGGGGGAGTGGATGTATAGAACGTTTTCTTGAGGTGAGTTGTCAGCTTCACACCTCGGCCCTTTTTATCCCCGGGAAAGAGCCCCCGATACCCATTGGACCCCAGAGCCAGTCCATATCAGTTTAATCTTCACGATAATTATTTCCTCTTATTTGACACTAAATTACGAGGAATCTTCATGGGGGTAAAGGGCGGTCGGCCGGCCGGGGAGTAAGGCTGGCAACCTCGGCGCCAACTGTGTGTGGATTGTCTAGAAAATGTGGGAGCCTCGACGTCTCACAACCCCGTGGGCCTCCATAACCTGTCACAGGGATAAGTTTACGATATTTCCCATCAGCTAATATTTCAGGGTGTTACCTGGACGATAGATAGATCTATTTCAGCAATAAATTATCGTCGAGGAGAAGGAGGGATCATAAAAATACAGAAATAACGAATTTATGAACGCATGAATCTTTGAGACACAACTTTCAACTCTTCTTTTAGTTTAACACTACTTTCGTCAGTGCTTCGCCCTCTTGCCAGTCACTCGCATCGCAACTTAACTGACAGTTTGAGCGCACTTGCATGCACACTTAAGTTAGAGACAGGATACGCCCGCCGTTTACAATCACACAACAGTTTTATCTTCTCCAACTGCACTTGCTTTTCAGTAATAATAATAAGTTAAAGGGGCTCTCAGTTACACTTGCTCTCTGTCAGACGTAGCACACCTCAGTCCATGGATTGACTGACTGATTAGCCTGTAACTAAATAAGTGGGAGCAGCGCTGTCTTGTCTTGGCTACTATTATCACCAATTATTGTCATTTTCATGTTGGTACGCCGCGAAGGGGTTGAGGACGTCAGTCATTCCCTAAACTAAAGGGCCAGTTAGACAGATCTCCAACACGTATCTCCCACCCCTTATGTCCAGACAGACAGAGAGGGGACAAGAGGAATTGAGACAGGAAAATGAGAGAGACTAATTGTAATACAGAGCCCACAACCGTACCCCTTTCATTTCTAGCTCGCCCCGTACAAAATTTACCCCTCCCCTTGTAATTGTTTTCAACTTTTCAGTTAAACTGGTTAAAACTGCAGAATGCACGCTACAATACACAAGAGGATAATTATTGGCCTATATTGTGATCAGACAAGTTAAATACAATAAAAAAACACACAGGAAACGGGATGTCAAAATAATAACGGCTAATTGAATCAAATTTGACAACTTGAAGGCGTATAAAGTGACTGGTTGCCATCGCTGGCTTCTCTCTTCTCCCACCACTTGTTTTTTTTTTCCTAGTTTGATGGTGTAAGAATTCAGTGATATCAGACAAGTTCATTGGTCTCTGACAACGAACAGCGTGTGTGTCATATTATGGACATCATCCTATCATACGGCATTTATGGAATAATCCGTCTTCGTCAGTTTCACTTTTGAACGCATAGTACCTATGTTACTTCCTTGAAATCTGCATGACTGTCTGTAGTTGTCCCTCGGCATCTTACACTACTAGTTCTTCTTGTAGTCTCATTTAAGACCTCTTTAGAGTAAATATTAATATCGGCCGTGCCATAGCTCAAGCAGTTAGTCGCTGGCTTCCCACCGCGGGGGGCCGGGTTCCATACCGGGTCTGGTAAAGTGGGATTTGTGGTGGACAAAGTGGCGCTGGGTCAGGTTCCCTCCGAGTACTTCGGTTTCCCTTGCCAATCTTCATTCCACCAATTGCTCCACAATCACCCTCACCTATCATCTGGTGCTCGTACAATAGGCCAGAAGTGGCCGCAGTACAAGGGACTCAGTCCCACCCCACTAGCAATAAAAAAATATGAATATCGCTTTCGAATTTAACCACCGTCTTCACATTGTGGGACCCACTGACACTGAATCAAGCGCTAGCCAATCAGAGGCCTTTGGTTTGGCCGCAGTTAGTAACAACTACCTCCGACATGCTAGTCGTCAATCGCAGCCTAGGAAACATTCACTGCTACGCAACGGTTCAGTAATCAGGTCTACGTGGAAACAGATTCGTACAACGCAATAACGGAAAGGTGATATCTATCCAATCAGCGCCTAAGCTGCATAGCGTGGACCACTCTATACGAACCTGACATAATGTCTCGAAGATCCGTTTTAACATTATCCTCTCACTCATGTCTATGTCTTCCTAGTAGTCTTCTTCCTTCTGTCCTTCACACCAAAACCCTCTACGTGCGTATTCCTCTTCTCCTCCATGCGTGCTACATGCTCTCTTATCATCCTCAACTTAATCATTGCAGTTATATGTACATAGCGAAGAGCACAAGCTATGAAGCTGTAATATTCACATTTACTGTAAAAAACCATCATAAAATCTTTCCCATTTGTGGTCATTCTCTGACTGTACTACCTGGAATGTCAGTTGAAAGTGAATTACATTCGATTGTAACACCACCCATCATGGTTCTGCCAACACGTTGCCCCGGTTATGTATCGGAACATCCATTATATCGGTTTCAAATTAGCCTCGATTTAATATTTTATTAATTACCTTTACGCGACATAAATATTATAGATTTTTTATAATATTCATATTCAATTTGAAAGATTTGTAAGGACGTAGAACTTTTAGGATTTGAGGTCCTCACATCTGTGGTTATGAAAACTTTTATCTCCTGCAACATAACACTGTGTAGTCCGGTGAAAGTCAACCGTTGTTTCGGAGAAAAATAGCACCTCCATCATCAGGTCTGAATAATAAGACACAAGAAACCAGAGTAAATTAAGTAGCAAGCAGAGCAAGAAACCACAGTGAAGCAGGTGCTGTTTTATTCACCCTTCTTGCTTGGCGTATTTTTCGACACTGAAGATGGAGGTGACATGTTCCTCCGAAAGTCTGCTACCTTCAACGAACTACACGGCATTATATACAAGGTTTGAAAGCCACTGCAGCTGCTCCAGTGCTACAGCGATGTCACCTTTGTGGTGGGGGCAGGTAGTGGCCTCTACAAGTTCTGTTTTGTGTGTTGCAGCGCTGGACAAGCTGGGGTTCCGGCATGTGTACGGACAGAGCCCTGTGGAGCCCGTCCAGCCCAATGTTGCTTTCGACATCGCCAGTCTGGTTCTGTACGGCTGTCAGGCGCTACCCATCAGGCTCAAGATTCTTCTGGACAGGCTGTTCTCTGTACTGCAGCGCGAGGAGGTCCTTCAAGTCCTGCACGGCTTCGGCTGGACACACGAGGACTACGCCCGGGGGTACATCCTCCAGGTAAGAGCTGCTTGTAAATTACTATAACACAAGATCGGAAAAGAAACACGGCATTTTTTTTTTGCATGAATATAGATGAGTGAAATATTTTAGCACGAAACAGCAGAATTCCTGGCAGGAGTTCGATTCTTAGGACGGGCCATCACATTCCTACCTCCTCCGGGGTTCACTCATATTACTGAACATCTGCGGAGGGGAGGGGAATATTTCTCCGAGGGTAAAGCAGAAGTGAAGTGAAATCTGAACTCTCTCTAACATTTTATGCTGTGATTGAGAACATATGCAACTGTATCTGCATTCCTGCCCATCACAGTGGTCGCGCGGTCTGAGGCATGTACTGTCTTCGCTCGCTCGAACTCTGGGAGCGTGGGTTCGAATCCTACTCGAGACATGGATATCTGTGTGCGTTTATTCTGTTTGTGTTGTTCTGTATGTAAGCAGCGGCCTTGCGACAGGCTGATCCCCCATCCAAGGAGTCCTGATGACTCTGCGCAGGATTAAAAAACTGAAAAACTCGCCAAGGGACAACAAAGGGCTGTAGAGCCGTAGATGGATAGATAGATACTTTCGTCCATACATCGTCATGATATGATGATTAATTCATCACAAGGACCCCTTAACCAAGTAGCGGAATTCGGAAGGAATGGGCACCATTAACAAAATGCGGAACAGAAGAGTGCAACTGAGTCCATTATTTCAAATAAAAAAAGTGTCGTTATGCATATAAGTTACTACTAATACTACTCAACTACTACTATTACTACTACTAAATTCTTCTCTTTTGAGTATTTATAAATACCGCTTCATACCCAACAAGACAGCTGAGTCGGTAAAGCTTGTAACTTGTATTCAGGAGGTCACCAGTTCGAATCTCGACTTGAACAGTGTCAAACCTGCCCGGAACCGAAAATCTCCGAATACGAGCAGCAACGGTTGTTTCACTGACTTTCTCGGAAAGAAATTTAGGCAAACATAGAATTCATTGATAGCATAATCAGTTTATCTTCTGTTGGGGCATGAAAATTCAAAATGACGATATCACACCAGCGGCCTCTTAGTATTACGTAGTATGTATGATATCGTCTACCCTCTTAACTTTTGATATGATTCTCTTACGTACGAAAAAACCTGTACCTGATTCATGATTTTCATTCCCTTTTCCATAGAAAAAGTATAGTCTCCTGCTGGTGCGATGCCACCTCCGTCCCATCTGACCTCCTGTACTCCCTCTAAATCTAACTTATATTTTAAGATTTCTTCTACCACTGTCCTGAGCCAACCTGTCCTATACATACTTCGGATTTCCAAGTACCAAATTTCATATCCATTTTTTTTAGCTTAGGTCGTTTATCCACAGAATCCGTCCAGGTCAGAGGCTTCTCATGATTTTTCGTACTAAGTTTTTTACGTTGAGGAGTTTTTAGCCCCACGCCCAACCCCCCCAGCTGGAGGACCACCCCTTGTCGGCTGTCCGCTACTGCTTATTCAATATATTCGCAGCTACCCTCCATATGTGGAGGCCGTCTCCACCATCCGCCACCTGAGAACGCGCCATGCCGTTGTGAGAAGGGACCCACCTAACATGGTAAAAAGTAGAACGGAATTGCTAATTAATTCATTGATCTCGTGAGCGCTACTAGCATTGTAGGTGTCGGCATAGTTACTTTGGGGCTCAAAGGTCACGATTTCGGGGTGCTATAAGGGAATGATATTAATTATAAACAAGTTTTTCACCAACATAAAGAGCACTTCCGGTCAGCATAAATACTGCAGCACTTTCGTTGTGTAGAAATTTAGATGCTCAGAACTCCACATCTTCAGAAAGCTGCCCAGAAATAGTAACTGTAAAATGGCTGATCATATTTCCGTGTAGCAAATTTCATCTTGAGAAGATAAAAGTAATTCATGTGAACACTACATGAGCCTGTCGAACCCAATCCCATCCCCATTCAAGACACATTTTTAATACGACATAAAACGTAAACTTCTATTCTACTTAATTATGGGCAGGTCTCTGAAAGCAACACAATATATAACATCATTTATATATTTTTTTTAGTTGGTTGAGGCACTATGTTACAAGCCGGAAGTTCGCGGGTTCAAGTCCCGATGAGGTCATTGGATTTTTTTCAATTGACCTAATCCTTCTGGCCGCACTGTGGCCCTGGGGCCGAGTCAGCCTCTAACAGAAATGAGTACCAGGAATTTATTAAATAATTTTCCTCGGGAGTAAAGCGCGGCCGGCGCGTAAGGCTGACAGCCTTACCGCCAACTTTGAGCCGATTGTCTAGATAATGTGGGACCCTCAACGTCTTACAACCCTATGGGCCTTCACGGCCTGTTACAAGGATAGCTTTACTTTTTTTTTTTTAATATTTCGGCCGTACATTATATATCCAAGAAAATATGACTCATTAATGCAGAGTTCTACTGCTGTAACTACCTGAGCACCTTAGTAATAAAATAACCCTTAGGAATTCCTGCCTGTTGTGTCAAAAGCATGTCTGAAATTCAAGGCTTTGGTTTCAAGTCCTCATATGGTGCCTGTCACTGCCAGACTGGACATTGTAAGACTATTTGAAAAATAAACACATACCTGATGACTGTTATGAAAGCATTACGAGATATCTTTGCAAATCGATCTGGTTTTCTAATACTGTATCCCTGCAACAGGCTGTGGAGGTCCATAGGGTTGTGAGATGTTGAGGATCCCACATTTACCAGACAATTGGCTCATAGATGGCGTCAAGGTTGTCAGCCTTACGCGCCGGCCGCCCTTTACCTCCGAGAATATTCCTGGTACTCAATTCTGTTACACGAGGGCCATAGTGCGTCTGGAAGAATTAGGTAATTTGAAAATATCCGCCTCATCGGGATTCGATCCGGCTTGTAGCATAGTGCCTCAACCTACTACGCTACCGCGTTCCTCCGTCAAAGCCTGGTATCAGATATTTATATAGCTGTACGTGGTTATATTAACATGGACTGTCCAGTGACTGAGGTTAGCTCTTTCTAAAGGACCCAACAAAGTAGGTGTATTCCCCTTCAGCTGAGGACGGAAATAGGTCCAGTTTTCGAAACGTGTTTTCTATTTTCTAGAATACTGGACGATGGACAAAGTACGAAAACCCAGTAACTCTTTGAACACCTTTACATGTTTCGGCCAGCACTGACCATCAACAGAAAATTCTAAAAGACTACAGGAAAATACTTTGCATGCTTGTTATACATATGGCTCTGTATAGGGATTTTCTCCTTTAATAATTAAGATTATATTTAGGCTGTTAAACTTCATATATTAATAACATTTAATATTTTCACGTGTCCTGGGTTCCATGACAAATTATAACGGATTTTGGATTGGATGATTAGATTTATGGGCACCTCTTCACAGTTACAACCAATTACAACAACTCACAATCAGTGACTGTCTAAGACTCGCTCCATTCCTTACTGGACTGTAACTGTCTTCTCTTCCACTGTGACTAATAACGAACGAAGAATCCAATGCGATTGAACTAACTTCCAGGCGAACGGAATAAAAACTGCCATCTCCAACAGTTCATGTATCACTCTGTTACAACTCGTGTTTGGTCCGTCACTATGAAACGTGCCTAGAGACCTGCTACCCAGCAACGGAGGTCCCACTGCTGACTACTTAACCTCTGGTATGTGTTTATCGAACTGTTGTTTAGCAGCGGCCATATTCGTCACAATTCGGTTAAAAATGTAGTTGCGTAACATACAATTCATGACGTTTCATTTTCGACTGCTGGTATGCAGATTGACCTATATGCTCGCTGTGGGATTTCGTGCGCATGCTCAGTGAATATTATAGTGGAATGGAATGTATCTACATAGATTTCCATCAGGATTTCTCTGTCCCTGGCGAGATTAGAAAGGACTGCCTCGAGAAAACAAATGTAGCACACGGTCATGATTACACCGTACGTTATGAGGCTTTCATGAGAGCAATTCTTCCTTTTCTGGTGTTTGGGTTTTAACATATGGTCTTGTACATGGATAATAAAGTTTCGGAGTAAAAGGCTACTTCCGTCTTCAGGGACTGCATGACAACCTGAAGGACTTGTTCGTAATGCAGCCAGTGCTAGTGGCAGTAGTGTACATATTTAGACCCTGAAGACAGAAGCGGTATATTCCTCCTAAATATTTGTATACATCCAGAAGGCTACGCAACCTCAGCCCAGAAGACTGGTAGGCATGTCACGATTTAGGCGCGACTATAGACGGGGTACCTGTTGGTGAATGGATTTATTATACTCACGACTACCGCAGTGGCTGCGCGGTCTAAAACATGAACTGTCTTAGCTTGCTCGAACACTGGGATCGTGGGTTCGAATCACACTGAAGGCATGGATATTTGTCTACTTTTATTCTGTGTTTTTGTTGTCCTATAACGGCTTTGAGTCAGACTGATCACTCGTCCAAGGAGTCCTATCGACTAAGATAGACTAAGACTAAGAAACTGAAGTGAAAGGAAATGTTTCTCGGATGCCCTATGTTCCAAACGGAGGCAACAGGAACAGACAGACAGACAGATAGATATACACAGCACTCGCAACTACAAGTAATTACAACTCTATCGCTAATCTCCACGATTCAAATCACTACGCGCTAAATCTTCTCAGTCTGCTTTCATTAGTCGTTTCCTGATAACTAATCTTAACAAAGGAGACTCCTCGTTTTCTGTGGTCATACTGTTGTCCGCTGGTTAATATTCCACAAATAAACTGTGCCGTTCTTCTCAGCTTCCCTTGCAGAACTCAACTCAACGGACTGAGTCCCCCCAATTTTTTTCAAGACAACTCCTCGGCACGGACCACATAGAAAACACCGTTTCCAAAAGTAACTCTGTTGTTGTAGAGGCATGTTTATCGCGCTGTTACATAGCAACGGCTGTTGTCTCGTTTTCTACCAAAGGATCTGTACAAAATAATATCGTAAATTTTCTTGAACTCAATGTTCATATTTGTATATGT